CATATATATATACACATATACATATATATATAAACAACCAATTAAGTGAACGTGTTGGTTGCCAGTGATAATGACAACGATGTCTTTCTTGTTTTTTTCTTAGATTTTATTTCTCGCTCGATGGTGTCGGTGCGCTCGTATAGGAAGCTTGCCTTTGATTTAAGTGAGACATTTCCAACAATCTGATGTCAGGGCTACGAAGGGAAGGCGCTGCCTGAGTGTTTTCGTTATTAGATGGTAGATTCACATCAGAGGTATACAATGGTAGGCTCGTAGCTCTACACTATCATCGAGAAGATGGTAGTTAATTAGAGATGTTCAATTATTCTTCTAACGACACTTACTAGCCAGCCACGGATTTACTTGAATTATACTGCTCAACAAGGTCGCTTTGGTGCAATTCTAAGAAAATAAGTGATTTTTCAAATGCTATTTAGAATAACAGTGGACGTCTATTGTGTGACTTTCAGTGATGTTCAACGGCGTGCCAGGCTGAACAGTAGAAATTAAAGGCCTTTGAGGAGGCAAAAAACTGAGAGGCGACGAGACGAGTATCGAGCTTCGGAGACGATGCTTGCGCTCGGCGAGAGACTTAAACGGGTTAGCGTCCTCGGCCCCCTCGGAACGGCGGGCGCATCGAAAGCGGCATCTGACAAAGATAAACTGACCGCTGCCTCCGGAGGATATCAACAAGAAATTTATTCATATCCAGGTGAAAATAAGCAGATGCCGATCATCGGCAAAAGGAATCGCAATAAGACTAAATATCGTTGTCACAATAGAAATACTAGACGTATATGTATGTTTTATACCTTCTTTGGCTATAGTTGAAAGTGTGTTTGAACTGATAGAAGAGCGATGGGCTTGTGTCTAATTAGTTAGTCTGCTATCTGCGCTGATGTACTCTAAGGTAGCCTGGACTTAAAATGAGAATAAAGTTCTCGAAATAGCTATTATCTCTTAACAAAGCATATTTGAACTAATCACTCGATGAGAAATGTTATGATCCGCTAGATATTTATTGTTACAAACCAACAAGGTATATCCACATAGTTCGTGATTTGTTTAAAACCATTTATTGCCACCTTTTTTGCTGATCTGTATGCATGTTTCGTCGTATTGCCCATACCTTTAAATAGTATGGAAAGAAAAAAATAACACCATCCAGTACGTTGTCGTGCTTTCTTTTTCAATACTAAATTTCCGCTACGCTCATATTAACTCGACATTCCGCGAGCCCCCCCCCCCCCCCCCCCCTCCCTGCCGGAAACACCCACGTTTGGATCGTCTTTAATAAATATGTACCTACGTTTAAAAGAGCATTATACTAAGGTTATAGAAAAAATAGAAATATTCTTCTGCTCATATCGCAAGAAAATAGTGGCACCGAGATGGTTAAACTGTTTGTCCTTTGGGCAGTTAGCCGGTCTATTCTGGCTTCTGGCCTCTGGCTTCACGACTCCTTACAAAGGAAGAACCCTTTAAAAGGCAACATAAAGCCAAACAGATTCCGTTAACACCAACATTAGCAGCAATCTGTCGATAGGTCATTGTGACTAACAATTCGTTGTATTATAGTGATCATGAGACGCAGAGAAGGCTTGTAGATCTAAGGCTTCTATTTAAGAGGCAATCGAAATCCATATATGGACTAGCCGTGACCAAGAAAAACAACCAGCAGGGGCTTTTCACTGAGCGCATACTCTACCCAGCTTGTTTAATCTATCTTTGTCTTCTAGGCTCTTTCTATTTCATTCGTTTAGCTAGTCTCGCGCGCCTCTCTAGATAGGAACAAACGCCGAAATAACGACTTTATGCTCAATTACCACATCGGGTGGAACGGAATACTGTGAAATCATTATATCTAACTAAATTGCTACGTTTGCGCCTTTGCATTGAACGCAGATAGAGTTATCCGCGCGTCTTTGGTCTCCAAAAATCTACATGTTTATTACACAACTAGGTTTGCATTAACGTAACGCGTTGCTTTCTTCGTGTCATTGCTCCTTTACGAAAATACCATAAAAAAGATTGCCAATGTTCTTCATTTAAGCATTGAACGCTTTGCTGCAAAAACACAATCAAATATTTGCATTAATATTCAATTATCGTTGCCGAGAAGCTATAGCTAGCTCACCACTGCAGCCATAAGAATCAAAGGCTAGCTGGACAGCCTATAAGTGCGTGTAAGGAATTTCGGCTTTAAACAGAAAAAAAAAAAAAAGAGAGCATTATTCTATACAATTGATAGAACAAAAAGAAAACTGGCTACTATAAAAAAATTTATTTGCTTTCTACCTTGGTTCGGCTGGTTAAATTATCCAATTGATAATATCATATGATTAGCTGGCGACTTACGACGTGTCTCAACCTTACGTACACGTACGTTTGGTGCCCCTGTAAGCTGTTCCCGTGACTATCGATGCAACGAGGACTTTGGCCTGGCCGAAACAGGTTAGTGAAGTGCGAACTCATTTGAATTTGGCCGCCTTAAGAAATGCGTCGGAAGGAGATATTTACTTCCTATGCAATCTTCATCCGCGGCTGGAACATTTGAACGATAATATAGTGTAAAAACATTATTAATTAACAAATGATCTTTTTTTACTCGAAGCCACCAGTGTATCGTGTGACAAATTATCGTTCATATCCGATATTTCAGTTGTCACACACAATAATAAGGATAGTTACTAGCTGATTTTCTAGCGCCGACCGATTACCTAGAGTAAAAATGATTGAAAAAAAAATTAGTAACGAATTTACTTATGAAAAAATTTAATTATTTTTTTAAGCTGTTCCTAAGGAGGCAAGCTGAGCCTGCTATGGAGCGCCCATCTTCACAGTTGCTTGAACACGCACTCATAATAATTAGCTAATGAATACTTGACCCGACAACTTGGCTGGAGTACTACTCCCAATAAGCTCAAGAACGATAATAATGATTATCTCCAGCTTCGAAACTAATGCAGCTCGCCGTCCGTTACTTTCTCCACGCGCAAAAAGTAACTTGTGCCCAGTGTCTTCCCAAGACAAGTCCTCTGCCAAGTCATTTTTGTTGATGATGACGACGGTTATAATTATCACAACAATTATCTTCATCACTAATTCAATGATGAAACAGTATAACAGTGCACACAGAAGTCACAGCGGTTGCAGTAGCAATGCTACGGTTGTCGTCGCTACTGGCGATCAGCCGTTCGCGGACGTAGGGCTTGATTGGCGCGACGTGTTTTGCCATCATCAACGTCGTTTTTCTTCCAAAGCCTTTCCCATATTTAAACCCTTGTGCCGTTGAAGCTACTGTGTAGCGGCGGCATCACCGGTGCTAACCATTGTTGCTCTTGCTGCTTCGTTCGATCAGGTCACGGGCCGATACTGAATGAGCAGAAGCGCGATAACAATGACAACCATAGTGATGATAGTGAAGGCGAGGGGCCGATGACGTCTGTTAAGCCGACGAAACCGACAAGCAGAAAGGGAAGAACAGGAAGAGATTCCTTCTGCTTTGGCTGTTTGTTACTATTTTTGTTTTTTTTTTTTTCGCCTTTCAATTAGTCATCGGCGGCAAAAGCATCTGTGTGAGAACTTCTATCACGACTTTTACGGTTGGCAAGACAATGAACTTCAACTATCTTTTTAGAATTAGAGCAGGTTTCACTAATCCATTACGTAAAAAACTCTTCGTGTGGAAGAAAACAATCCGGTCATCAAGTTAAATAAATACACGTTTATCAAGGCTCGATTGCCTCCTTACAGCGATGCCCAGTATCATTTATTTGGGCAGTATACCCAGATGGCGGTGGGTCTATGTAGCAAGTACGTGTCATTCAGCTTAGCCAAATGTGCTCATCTTCGATTTCACATAAACACAATGCGAATAAACATAGGCATTTTATGAAAAAACCGGGATTAATATTTTTCTCAGCCTCGTTGAGATGCTAATTTTGGTACTATGATGTTTGTTAAACTTTTCTTTGCACCTAATACATATACACAATTAAACTGGATCCTGAAACTTTTGGACGATACATAGTTTATGGTGGAAGCCATACATTGTGTTTAGTTACGACATGATGATTTCATCGATGCATGGTTTAACATGGCTCTAGACGCGTATGAATCTATACCTAAATTTTTTAGTATGTAAGCCATTAGATACTACTTCAATCTGCATGCCTACCTGCGCGAAGGTTGCGAGGAGTTGGCAATTAAATGAAGTGTTGCTGTAAACCTTTAATGAACATAGATCTTTAACGAGAGAGATAAACTGAACGATTTCCACCCCCATTATGTAATGGGGTTCGAGAACATGTAGCTCATATTTTGCATAAGATCTTTACCCACACCTCATGGAAACATATTATTTTTATTTTCGTTTTCTCCTGGTTATAGATGCCGTCGCGGTACAGCTTCTGCTTCTTTTTTCAAGCTCCATGTAATTTCTATTTTCACGGTAATTAAAAAATGTATCGTATAGTGTAAATAACTTCCTGTACGTTCGTAGTTCAGCCTATTGGCATGACTGACTGAAAGACTTCGCCAATGTTAAGGGCATTAATTTGGTTTTAGCCCTTCCAATAGCATCGATATGTTTCCTTAGATATAACCGTCGCTTTTCTCAATAGAAGCAGTAAGACCTTGTAGTGTTCGAAATAAATTAGTATTAGATTTATATGAGCTTTAGATGAACAACCTATCTGTATTGAATAGATTACAAAATACAGGATGTTAGTTTTAAATTCAGACTTCTATTGTGAGCTTTTTTAACACAAACAAATACTTCAATGATTTTGTTATGAGTTAACAGCGTAATTTTCGACGGTCATGTTTATTTGATGTAACTATTGTTCACCGTGATTACACTTTCGACTGGCAATTTTAGTTATTTCCAAATATACTTCCTTTACTATAGCTCTTCCATAGTAATCTTGTTTTAAGTGACATTGTGACAAGTGTTGAATTAGAGTCGTGTACCAAAGACGCCCTGCAAAAAACAACGGCGACATCAAGCTTCGGGTTAGGAGCAGTTAATTTTATAAATACAAGGGTAAAAAATGGCCAAAAGAGGCAAAAGCTTTTAAAAATACTAATTGTAAGAGCTTACTTGGTCGATCCAAATGGCGATTAATATAAAAGGGGCATCTATGGATATGTCTCAGGATTGCCACAAATGGTTTTAAAGTCACTTGATGAGTATTTGCACCCTATAAGTCGTACTCAGGACTTGCAGAAACGGGCAACGACGTAAACCTTAGACTCCAAAAAAAACAAAGATATTGATTTGCGGTTTGAGGAGCGTTTGTAGTTGTTGCCTTTTGCCAAAAAAAACAAAAAGTTCTGCACTGTCTATTTTTTTTCCTTCAGGAAAACGGTTTTTGGATGAATACATTCACGACACCGCTGTCGAGCATTCAAGAAAAATCAGGATAAGCATGGCATATGGGACCGAATGAGCCTTTTCCTTTAATGTATACATCTGTTTTTGCATAGAGGATCCTTTTATCATATACAGCTTTAAGTAAACTGTATGCCTAATATGCTTGATGATAATTAATACATGATTTGTCTCTATTGCTTGAAGCTGTTTGTTCAGTGACGCCCGGAGCAGGTCTTCTTCTTTAAGCGCAGCCATTTTTCGTTCCACCTGTCTGCTTATGGTGACATCCTTCGACAAAATTCATTAGGTTTTAAAAGGTCAATGAATCTCGAATGTGCGTTGAAAGAATGTTTTACCATAGTAGATTCATTTTGATGCTTTACTACTGAGTCCTTAGACTATGAATTAAATGTCAGTTGAGTTCAACAGTATTTAGAGAGGTTTAGAGAAAGTAAGCTTATCAGATTAGTAAACAAATTTCCCCTATCGTAAGGGGTAGTACTGTTTTTCTAAGCTGTTCAACAAAGATCGGTCATTGTAACTGCGTAACACTCAATACGGGGTCAAATATTGAAATGCAGCATCAAGCTGTGATTTCTTGTTGAATTCAGAGGGTTGATAAGGTACTCAAGCTTCAAGTTCTAGCGCTAACCCTAAATACTTAGGGTGGTTCATAACGGTCTTCTGACTGCAGCCCATCATTTTAGCAAATTCCCGAATTGTCGTTCGGTGATTTTCTAAAGGAAAATTTCTAAAGGAAGTGCCTTCAAGCAATCATTATTGAACATAGACGATTACACAGAACGGGGGCATCGTCTCTGTCCTGGATACCGTTTTCAAATTTAATAGACCATTCTTTGGGAGTTCCTTTTGCAACAGTACTGTGACCGCGCATATGGCAAATGTCTTGAGCTGTTTCGGCAACGTTACCAACAAAATGCTTGGTACAGAACATATCTGTACTGGTAATAGGTGTCCCTTCAAGAACTTGAGACGTGACAACCACGCTTATCTTCATCTGCACTAGAGAAATATAAATGTAATGACGATGCAATGTCGATGAAAGATGTAGACAGTCACTCTAGATTGTGTGTCAATCATAGTTTTGACTACCGGTCAGATTCGTTGTGGATTAATTATGACATTCTACATAAAAAAGTTTACTGTAATATAGAAAGCGATGTTCAATGACGTCTACCGGTTTTCCAGTATTGCCACTGCTCAAGCATTTCTAAAGGGAGGAATTCGACGACGAGGGTTTTAAGGCAACTGTATGCTTGCTATACCTTTTTGACGTACCTGATTTTCATACAGCATTCCGAAGGACTATTTTTATATATGTGAAGGCCAATTGTCGCATACTGACAATATAACGGATTAACACCTATTTATTCTTGATCAAGAGACGTTGATGCGTTACCAACCATGCTGCGTCTGCGCAGCACTCGGGTGCTCCCCGAACAGCAATATCTGTCGCTGCTTCGTGTTGTCGTACAGGTCTCGCGTCCTTCCTGCAACGCGTCGCAATATACCACTGCGCGCCATCGCCTGTCTTCCGATGGTCTAGTGTTCCCGCACTAAGATTAGAAAATTTATCGAGCTCCGAACCCTCCTTCTGCCAACACTGCTCTTTCGGGGCCAACCTGCTTTCCGGTTGTTGTTTGAGCGTCAGCGACCATGCAAACTAGAGGTTCAAGTTTCTAGGTATACTGAGGAGGCTCTGTAAGCGCTCTAGCCACCAGCCGATCTGCCTCCTATATACAGCAATCTGGCGGCCGATTTCCGCACTCATAGGTTCGTCGTCAGTCGAACTACAGTCGAGGAGGAATCGGCTCCAACTTATAACACGGCCGACTTAGTAACTACTTATCCTCTATATAATACTTAGATAGCATTTATCAATTTTTTATACTAATACTTTTTACTTGATTACTACCGTGCGGGACGTTCTCATCTCGCGGCCACCATAGCTTTAATAGGGCCTGTTAGGCTTTTGCGTTGCTGTCTAGGCTCGCAACGGACTACTTTTGCGATCCGTCCTGGCTAGAATCTTGGCATAAGGATCCTGGACGGTCCAAGCTGTTGTTATGTGCGACGCAGTTCAACTAGATTTTTTAGAAGAGCTGCCATAAGCCTCCTGAATAATTCCTTATACCTCTCTCAAGTAGACTTTCGCGCCTTGAACACAATTGGCTGAACATGGGACACGGTTACATGTCAGAAACTTGTGTTTCAGAATCTACGCTTACCTTGTCGTAGCGATTGATGGCTGGCTCCAGACGTTCCAAACGGCCTATCTCCGTCTTTACATGTAGTTGGCGACCAATTGGCGAAATACTCAAGGACTGATCCCTCTCTCCGTATAATTTTTCGCCTTTAGTTTACGCATGGCTTGAAAAGCGTTTAGGTGAATTTTGTCAGGGCTTGAGTACAGCAGAATGTCGGCTTACCGCAGAAGCACTGCATGCACTACGTAGTTATTAAGTGTGTTTTCTGCAAGCATAAACCGGCTAATCTTTATCTTCTTCAAGTACACTCACTATCAGATACCATCGAAAACTTATTATTTGATGCGCTGCTAACGCTGGCACAAGAGTAACCCCTAACAAAACCTTTCGCTTTACACATAATACACAAGTTCAGCTCGGTACTGGCAAAATATGGAGCTAAAGTCTCTCAATGGCATGGCGCCGCAGGACGCCGACAGACCATTCTTGAAGCTTGCCGGACTTTTGGTTTAGGCCGAAAGTCAAATCTTTTTCAGTCAAGTCAGGTCTTTCCGACAGATAATCTTAGATTAGATAGATTAATTCCGCAGATCAATTTGTCCCTTCTGCTGTAATAAAATCACACATACTTGACTTAAAAAGGACAGACGTCAGTCGTATATTCGCAAGAAACACCTTCGAATCGAGGCCTTGCTTCGTCTAACAAGGCTTGCCTGGCCCGCACAAAGTTCACAAGCCTGGATCACCACGAAACAGAAGAGCTTTCTTCGAGTACAGCTTTGAACACCTCGTGAATCATATGACCTTAACTTCACTGACAAAAGCTCCACTAGACCATAATATAGTTATCACAAACAAAAAGAAGGAAAGTCAAAATATGCCGCTGCAAGATTTTCGAGCAGCCATGTATAGTCAAAAAAACAGTGCGGCACATAACACTTTCACCGGCCATTCATTTAAATCTAGATGTCCGGTTGTTTCTTCCATACAAATATATCTCTTATTGGTATAGATGAGATGTGTAATTTATACTGTTTAGACAAAGATAGCAAGAAATTAGTATGTCTACACATAGTTTAAATGGAAAATCATCTACCATACTTCTACGCTGTCAACACATTAAATTATAACCCAAATACATATATCGTTAAGCTTATCTTTTCAATATGGGTGAATTGATTAAAAAAAATAGCGGTTAACAGCACAAATCAGATTACAGTCGGTTAACTACACACTAAAGTTGGCTTGGGCTTACTTAACGTTAATCTATTCTAGTTTTTTTTTTTTTTTTTTTGGAATAGAACGTCTGAATGCTCGATGCAAAACAAGTGGTTTCATCAAGTGATCTTTTTCGACAATGGCATTACTACAACCGTGTTATTGTTAGTAGGTAGACATAGAGCGCTCATTAAGGTAGCTTGTCTAAACACATCAAAGCAATTTTGGTGACCATGCAAAAATGGCAACGTAGTTGTGCTTCATTATGAGAGCTGATTCAGATTGTTATATATATCCTAATTAAAATACTATTTCAAATGAAATCCTCATACAGTTATAATAATTTGACTAATCCAGCTACGGTTATTTTAACTGTTTGATGTTCCTATTCAATGTTGCTATTGGTCCTTTTTCGTGCAGGACCAGGGGCAACAGAGATCGTCGAGCTGCTTCGACGGCGCCTAGCAGTGTTATCAGGTATGCATACCTATCTTTCATGAATTTCTCATTTTATCTAGTAAAGAGATTTTATATTTCACGAAATCAAAGCAAAGGGACCCGTCAATTTAATACTAAACTCATTTGATGAAGTGATCAGAAATTTTGCAAAAACAGTTCTACTTTAGTGCGTATCATAATAGATGTTATTACGTTATAAGTAACAGGAATCGAGTTTTATTGTCCTAATTTTGCATGCATTACCCAAAAATATATACCTGTGTAATATATCTTGTGAACAATGTGCTCAGTGGAGAAAATGTCCTAAAAGAACGTAGTAGTGGTATGTATTTGATGTATTTGTTGTCGAAATTCCAGGTGGTGAGGACAAACGTGGAGGCCCTGTCGTAACCGTGTTTGCACCTAAAGATGACTTCAATACTAATGACTTGAAGCAAACGCTACACTTTCTGAAAGACCTTATCGGGTAAATACTTTTCGTATATACTATTAAAACTGACTACCAACGCCCCGCTTTCGGGGCAGAACGAGTTTTAGTTGAGTTTTGGGTAATTACTTTCGTTAAAACAAGACCCGCAGCCAGATAACACTAGCAGATCTAATTCTTATTCCCTTATAGAAATTTTATTAGAAGTAAACTCCACAGTTTTTCTTTTCTCTCTATCGCACCAAACAACCATTTGGTCCTTAATACTGTAATAGATATCCAGCGCATCTACACATATACTGACCAGGGTGCACCGTTATTTTCTTGATTGATTCATTTCTAAGGTACGAGGAACGTAGCAGTGGTATTTCAGTTTTACTCGAAGGTTCGCCAATTCTGACGCGTTGTCTTGACGAAGTAATCGGTGCTGTACAGAATGTATTTGGTGATTGCTTACATGCCATTTACGTATATGCCATACACGGTCTGTGGCATCACAAAAGTCGATCTTCGCCGGACATCCGAAAGGCACTGCAGGATAACTCCGGCGCTTTGCTTAGTTATATGACACAGCAAAAACTGTTCAAAGTTATTTCGCCATTTCAGCTTACAAATGAGTTCGGGGGAACTCTCGAGTACAACCACTTAGCCTGGCTAGAGAGACAATTGGCCATCGAGAAGTTTTTACGGGACGCACGAATCATACGCAAGCATGCAGACGCTACAATCCAGACATGTGAAGCTCGGTTAGACGCTGAAGGCCCGACGCCTACCTCTGTAGAAGAAATTCGGAGAAATTGCGTATCCATGGTCAACGTCATACATACGACTTATGTGAACGGCCAAAGATTATTGCTAAGTTTACAGAGCGAAACCGAAGGCTCGCTGTCTCAATGCGGCAAAGGAGCGTTGAAACAAAATGCAAGTCAGTTGCGCTGTATCAAGACGGTGCTTGACTCTGTGACATCTATCAAAACCGCGTTCGAGTTGCGTTGGACGACCCTACATGGAGCGCTGTGCCAGATCTCCAATATGCAACGCTTCATACAGGAAAGCGCTGAAGTTGTAGCCTGGGTTGACTCTGAGGGTGAGCGTCTTTTGACAGAGGGAAATACTCTGGTAGGAATGACTCTTGAAGAAGCCCTAGTTCGTCGTAAACACATGCACCAGGTGGCGTTGCTAGCCATGGATTGCTACGCAAGATATTCACAGTTGAAAAGTCTTGCTCATCATCTTCTTCGAGTATGTAGCTCGCATTAAAGAGGTATAATTTAGTGTAATTGCGCGGGTGTTGACCAAGTGCTTTTTATAAGAGGCTGGAGTATTTTGTCATGTTCATGTGTTTCGTTTTCCAATATCATCGGTAAAATAGTAATATTGGTACATTTTATATATGCTCGTGCTCCCTATTATCATGTAGGAGGCGAATCCAGATACGACAACGGTTGAGTCAACTATGCAAAAGCTAGATGCTACCTGCCAGGTGTTCGCAACGAAAGTAGATGCTCGACGTAGGATATCCGAATTGGCAGTCGTATTTCATCAGGCCTTCGAACAGACTAATAAACTAGCGAAGGATATCGAGCGAAGAGTATGCGCTGGTAATTCAAGTAGCGCATCGGGAAGTGATCCTGTTGGTTCGGCTGGAGAGTCGGCCTGCGACTCGTCAAATTCGGATGGATGCAGTGTCGTCGACGAGGATGATCCACCAGCTGGGAACGAACTGCATCTTCAGCTTCAAGGTCTGGCCAATCCAGGCGGTCATATAACTCAAGAAGCGCACAAAACTATACTGGAGCTAGATGACACATCCGCTGTGCTGAACTCCAGCCTAGATGATTTTAAACGAGTGTCGATCGCTTTCAAAAAGAGCTTGCAAAACCGAGACTTCGAGCTGGCCCAACCGATGGTTCAGAGAATGTGCGCTGCCATTACAAAAGAGGTTGATAGTGCGAAAGCACTCATCGAAATTAAAAGAAACCACCTTGTGCAAACTGTCCAGCTACTGAGCTGTGAACAGGACGCCAAACAGGTATGCATATAGTAATATTAATTATTAGGCCATTTCTTATTTCGAAGTAAAGCTAACGGAACATAGTATACATTATCCTATATCGAACTGGCTTTTAGCTGTTCACTGCGGCTGCTATTGTGATGACTGACTGGTTGACTATTTCGAAGTAGAACGTCAGTGATCATGCTCTCATGGGCGCCGACTAGAAAAGAATAACTATGTGGCCGTCATGACGATAGCAGCAATGATGCTGATTAGCTTAAATGCGTTCACCTTCAAGCAAGCTTATTTGTATCAATCAAAACTAAGGGTAACAGCCGAAAAATTGTTTCTTGAAAATTTAATGCTATGACTTTTAGTCGGTGAGCTGGCTTGACGATCTTTGCCTCGCAGCACAAAACGCTCTCGAATCGGACAGCGGAATCGAGGAACAAACGACGAGGCTGAAGCACGACAAAATGGATACCACTGCCAAGGCACGTCTTCGAATCGAGTAGCAACTTAGGGACACCTAAGCTAGTCATCTGGGCTCAAAACCGAGCTCAGAAATACTTCGTCTAGTGCCGGAGGCTAGCAGGGCCTAACGACAACACCGGAAATTTATTTCGGCAACTATTAAATAGTGATGGCATTGTTCCGCTTCTGCAGATAATATGCGAGGAACAATTTCGTCTGCCAAAATCTTTTATACATTACTTCATGTTTATGATTGATGATAACTTTTTCTGCGAGGTCTGGAGGTAGTACGAGTCCCGATTCGCTTCATTCTACAAACCTCTCTGTGTTTCGAGTTTTGCCTTTAAGCATCCTATCAGACAGCCGGCTTCCAGCGCGAAACGAGGTGTGTCTATGTTCGGGTTTGAGCCTAGACCACAACGTGTCCCTAAGATTGGCAGGCAAATGCGCTACCCACTAAGCTATCACGGGGACTACCAGCCCAATAAACCCTAACAAACCAAATTCTGGAGCTTTACAACATTTTCCTGCCTTTCCCTTAAACTTAATTTTTAACAGAAAATCACTTAGATTGTTACATAGCTATTATCAAGAGTGAAGAAGTTTGTAAACCGGCTATTTTCTAAAAGCACTATCTAATTACCTAAAATATATTCATATTTCTACAGGTAAATTAAACGCTAAATGTTTGCAATGGGTCATTGAACAGGCATAACTTAATATATAGCAATGCAAAATAGCATGATGTAAACTTTTCCATTTGTTCGACTTAAATGAACGTTGCGTATTTAGTGCAGCTGTTTGATGTTTACGCTACCGAGGCTCATATCACATAGATATGATATATGAAGGCACTCAGACACTGTCAACGTTCATTCAGCGTATATACATAGAAAACTTCATGCTAAACAGCATGAAGTATATAATCACCTAATAACCGCTAACCCTAAACGTATGTAGATGTTTTTTCAGCAGGTCATTGGTAAGGTTTTGTTGCTAGAATGAACGGCCCGTCCATCACAGAGTAAATGTTTCGGGGGAATGAATGTTTTTATGTAATAGCACCTGTCGTACAGTGTAATTCACCTCATAACACTACTACTACTATACTACTAAGTACCATAAGTAGAATGATTCAACTCACGAAATTTAACAACCATTGCGTTCTTCAAATTTCCACAAAAGCATTATAATTGTCCAAGCTGATTAAATGCTTATTATTATTATTGCTTAATCAAATTAAAATCGTTAAATTACATTTTCACAGGAGGCATACGAATATGGGCGTCGTTTACTGGACACTGCAGTGAAACTGCGCAAAGAGTGTAAATACAAAACGGGTCCCTCAATTCGGATTGCCGACCAGTTATTCAACGCGTGGATACGTTATCTCAATGTGACTAAGGGTGGACGTTCTTCAGGTAGTCAGAGTTCTTCGACGGCAGGAAGCTCACCTTCATCGTCGCCCATAACCTCGAAGGTGCCCTTGCGAAACACCTTGTCAAGCAACAGTAACGGTACTCGAAGCAACAATAACAACAAACAACCCATGGCTACATCAGCTATCCGACAACAACGACGCAGCGCCTTCTTTCCGCCGCCGCCGCCGCCGCCGCCGCCACAGCCGCCGCTGCAGGCTATCACCACCAACAACAATAATAATACGCCCCAACGCAGACTGCAATCATTCCACAGCTGCAGTTCACTCGTATAGTAGTTATGACCAATTAGACTGAGTAGTGATGTATGACGCCGACGAGGAAAATCGAAGAGGACACAACACGTACTAGGAATAACAATAAGCAGCCTCCAGGAGCTAGCGGAAGTCCGACAGCGTCTGAGTGAGTCATGGCAATATATATGCATATACGCGTATATGTCGAGGCAATTGCTGCGAGCAAGCATACGCCCGCGTCGAGCAAAGCGAAATAGTTTACAGAAAGGAAGAAAGTTCTTCTAAATGAAACCTGCGGTGGAGATACATACGAACCTTTAATATAGTCAACCGTTAGTACTATGTCAACTTAATGCCGCTCAATAATCAAAGGGACGTTGTGTGATACATTTGTTCACACAGGATATGATACAGTACAACAAAAGGGTTTCGAACTTCCGACGACCGTATTCGACGACGTGTAACAATGGAAACATAGTCAATTCTCTGAGCGGCAAATATGCCCTAGCTTCTATATGTATATATTAGTTGTAGCGTACTGGAAAGCCAACAACACTTGTTAGGTGCTGTTACCTTTGGCGGAAGCATATTCGAGATACGCATTTTTGTTTCGCTTTAGGCTGATACTCGAATTAGTCTATATGATTCAGTTGACCTTTACAGTCATCAACGAATTATTTTGATGTTTTTTCCTTCCTCTCACCATACTTACTACTTACCGCCAACTGCTCCTTCCGTTTCTGTCGATGCATCAAACAACCTGTTCCTGGCGATAGGAGCGAACAATAGTGCCTTAAATGAACCTTGTGTAAAATACCTTGATGCTTATGAAACCAGTCAATGAAGAAGTTACGATTAAGCGAGCAAACTTCTACTTGATATATACAGATAAAACTACGGAAAGTGTGCATCTTGTGTATCTAGTAGAACACGCCTGCCGTGCTAGTGCAAAAAGAAGCGTTTGAAGGCCAAGGCTAAATGGCGTTATGCTAGACATAACGACCCTTTTGGCCTTTGCCTAACACAGTCGAAATAGGATATAGCTATCTGCATTACATCGGTACAAAAAGCCTTTAAGAATTGCGTTTTGCTTATACCACATAAATGAGGAACGTTTTGCAGGAGCATCCACACACAAATGAGAGTGAATGAAGACATGAAGGAGATAAGTAGGCGCGTTCGCCAGATTAGGTACGGTTGCAAGCTGCTGCTACTAGCAGACTTGACAAGGATAAAGCTAGTTGTCTATTAATCGATGACAATAATAGAGAAGACTTCGTGTTTTTCGAAGCTTACGGCCATTATAATGAAGTCAAACAAATTGCAACAATTATATCCTGATTGCGCGTTGAATCTTCCTGCCTGCCTGCCTGCCTGCCTGCCCATCTGATGGCAAAACGAAAAACACAAATATACGTTATATCTTAGCAGTACGTACCACGCTATAGAATAATACGTCGTACTGCTGATGATATTTGAGTTTAGGAAGTAAATACATTAAATACAAACGATATACCTTTGAACAGTACATTTTTCTGTTTTTTTTTTAAATTTATTTTCTTCATTTTTGTTCGTTTTCTTCATTATCATACATGGTTGCATAAAATTAAAGAAGATGGCTGCAATTATAATTTACGATATTTGACTCCAAACTGCTCTGGCACGGAAGTCGACTCTGCCGTTCGATAGCAGTCCATATTCTAGTTGAGCATGCTTGATTTGGCATAAATGTTGCCAGAAAACTTTTTCGCATAGCGTTCAGTTTCATAATTTCTTAATAGGGTGATTTCTATTCAATGGCTTTGATTTAAATGTATCGACTGACTTCTCTGAAGCATTTTCCCTCGCTAAATCAGTTAACGGTCACCGTAAAGGCCACTTGTGTAGCAACAGTACCAACAACTAATTCAAACACAGGTGCCTATCTATCTAGGCTAGAGTTTGTGCTGGGTTTTCGGGATCGATAGCCGACATCGATAACAGAAAATAACATCGCTTTAGTCGACTTTTTTAGGCTATTATGTGTTGTTTTAATGAGTAATATGTACATACGGCAGCTGAAAGCGTAGCGCCAACACAGTTTCGCGGGGAATTTAGTGATTAACAATATTTCCATATACAACGGTCTAATACAGCTTATGCTTTTGTTATATGTGATCAGGTCGTTTGCGATTCGAGAAAATCGTCCGATCGTTTTGCAATATCAATGAGAGCCTGCGCTTTGACCCTCAAACACACCTCGAAGATTCGAAGCGAAGGCTTCTTTTGGCTTTCGCCAATATCCATCGCATGTATTGCATCGTTGCCTTCAAGCTGATCCAGCTTAGTTCATGGACGTTCCTTACTGATGCTCCTTACTTTTGAATTAGCGCTCGGTACCTCAGCATCATACAGCCTGCAATTGTAGTCTTTCACAATATACCTAATTTGATTTTAGGTATTACTTGAATGATATCTGCAGTACGACGATGACTGTCAATAGCCTACAAGGGTACTCATGTGTTATGGTTGTGAAGTCTTGGCCATACCTATTTAATTTTTATCTTATGTAACTTGAGTTTGAATCCGAAAAGTTCGGACAATGCTGCGGAAAATGCCGACACGCAGATGACTTTGGTGATGTTATAGAGATAGGGGTTGGCACAGATTCCGGAAATTTTGAACGGACTTTCCAATTCTTTGAGCAGATCGGCTGCTAGTTTAAGAACATTATTAGCGAGTACCAGTTCTTCCTTCTTTTGTGGTTTCTGTTCCATGTGCAGATAAAGATTGATCTGCTCAGTGATAAGGATCGAATGATTACGATACTTCTTATTAATTTTTAGACCCAACACCATGAAGCGTGTCATAAACAGTCCAATGCCAACACACCACAGGGCGCACTCCCAACAGAAGAGGCGCTCCAGTGAGCCTCCGTCACGAAGCATCTGGGCACAAAAAAGGGACAGGATGCAAACGCCCATTATAAATGCTGTAGATACGATTGCATCAACAGATTGCTGTGGACCGTGTTTCTTGAGGTACGATCGTACGCTTAGCCAGGCTTTAATGTTCCTCACTTTATTTAGACGAAAGTGCGGTAGCTCTGAGCGATACGCTCGTCGTGCTGATGTCAACTGACAAAAATGTTTGGCATAAAGGAATCGCTGAGTGAACGTTCGTTCGGCCACACACAGCAAATAAAAAAAGGTTCCAGTAAGGCTGAAACGGACGAGACAGGCGGTGATTGTTGCCATCATTGCGTTATCAGGCAATCCCGCCCACGACAGGTCGATAACGGCCTCATCGGCAGACGAGTTATTCGTAAATAAACTATTGTTAGGTGCAATAAACTGCCGCAACGGACAACCAAAGTCATTCTTGAAATAGAGCGGGTAGATGGCAACGACAAAGCTAAGAAAGAGCGCGAGCAGAGGGTATTCGTTCGAATGGCGCCACGTGTCCACCTTGCGGACGATTGCGGATGCGATGTCGAAGATAGACAGGTCCACTTTCTTACAGTCACCAAGTTCCCAGATTGTACAGCTGACCTTGTCCACCGTGCTACATTGCAGCGGCGCAATATCGTCTCCATAGTCATCATCATCTGTTGCTTCGTCGGAATGGATATTCTCCGAACTAGAGCTCATGTAGTTGCAATCTGTCTGCGACAAGTTAGGCCATTCGAGGTCACACTGGAGGTGCTTCGCAAGTTCTGGCGGTTCAGGCGATAATTGGGATTCGTCGGCACTACTGGCTGTCTCCCCACGGTCGCACAGATCGTCGACCCAAGCGCGTTTGCGGACGAAAGAAGCGCCGCTCTCCGTCGAAAGCCTTCGACGGACATTCAGATCCTCGTCCAGCCGCAGATGGCTCAAGTCGTAGAGAACGCCATCAGAACGCCGCTTTAGCTTCCTGCGTCTCCGTAGATTGTTCATCTCGCTTCGGCTCTTCGCTATAAAAAATTCCTCGTCATCTGAGGAAATGACGATATTGGGCTGTCGCAGAGGTGTTGTTGGCTCACTCGGACTTGTTGGACTCGATCCTTTTTCTGAACTGTCAACGGTACGCTTTGTTCCCATGTCAAGACTTTCAAGTCCACTCTCTTTACTGTCCTCCTTCGTTTCAACCTTAACTCCAGGCTTTGGTACTTTTGGAATCTTACGCCTCAGGCATCTCTTCTGTAGTTTAGGTGATCCCACGCATTTCGTCGTAATCTGCTCATGGATGGCGCCAAGACACGCCATTAGTATCACAGGCCCGTATACCTCAACTACCATAAAGTCGAAATGATCTTTGGTTATTTTAAACAAGTTGAGATACGTCACATGCAGTTGAGCAATATACAACATGAAGAAGTACAAGGAAACTTCAATGCTCGTGTGCTGCGCCCACCAGCAGCAGAAGAGGGGGTAGAGTAACGCTTTGAGTGCGCCCCTTGCGCAAAGTATCAGCCATGAGCTGCGAGGCTTCTTTTTTTTGAACGTTGATCCTTGGACAAGGTCAACGTCAATGAGCCCCGCCTTAAATTTGGTATTTTTCTTCGGTAGCCCGCTGACACCGCGTCGGACCCGGCGTTCCACATCTCGTTCCCATGCTTCCTTGTCGTATGCTCCAATCTTCTTCTGATACCAACCAAGACTTTGGTCAAGCTTCAAATCCATCTCTGTAAAGTACCCATCATCACAAACCAATTAGTAAATCGGCTAACTAGGACGTGATTTGCAGAAGGATCAACATTCAGAATGTAAACGAGTGTTCCCGCATTCATAACAACCTGGCAAATTGACTTTGTTATTTGACTTGGCTAGCTCATATACTTGTATAGCAATGTTGTGGGAACGGTCACGGCAAATTTAAATGTGTTGAAACTGATCGAACGTTGATCGCTATGAACACACTATTTTAGTATATGGGTTGCACGCAGGCCTTAAAAAGTTTGTTTCCTTTTATGCAGCGCAGTCATACTCGTGTCTAGTGTATAATATCGCAAGCGTTACAGTTCGTAGACGAGAAGTCAAGATCTAGAGAGGACTAAAAACAGAGAGCCGAGGCTTTAGCTCTTGCCAAATTAGGTTCCGGAGTAAAATCTTACTAACGCGAACGAGCTAACTGATAGTGAAAGGCCACTTACTCAGAGGCTTGGATCGTTCTATAATCCTGGCGACAGCGATCACTTTCGCCTGCACAGAGTTGATAATCACTATCACCAATTTTCCAAAGGTAATAATAACAGAAAACATTAGAAACCTTGGATAAGTAATCTACAAACACCTAGTCCTCAATTACTTATTTCTAATTCCGAGCATATAGTGACTTGAGAACTAAAGCTTCTGCATCGATGCAGTTCCTTAAGTAAACCATAGTAATAACTTGGCCTGATTTGATAATTTTTCAAACGATATGAGTTGGCTTATTGTCTTTTCGAACATCTAATTGCGAAGACGCAAACGTGATAATAAGTAAGTACGCAGCCGAGAAGATGGCAGTAATTCACTGAAATCTTCACACACGAGTTCACGTCTGACAGAAGCGAGATGGGCTATTTGGTACTGGTCATCTGATCATCGATCAATAGAGCGCGGTCTCTAGCTAGATTCTTATACACTAATTTGCTTACGCTTGCCATTCGGTACTTCAAATGCTAGGGAAGTCTATCTCACTTTAATTGTGCCTTAAAAACTAATTTAAAAAGCAATTTATGGGGGTTTAGCACCTGTAAGAGTAGAGTTGCGACGACATAACGCCCGCCATAAATGAAGGGGTCCCATGGCGTTACACAATCAAACAACTAAATCAAAAAGCAACAACCAGCTATTCCGCTCAAATAATCTCAATGGACTGGCCGGTTTTCCATGGCAGCGAGAACAGCGCGCAAACACTGTACAAAGCCGCAACAGCGGCTCAGTGACGACGAAAGGGAGCTGCAGCGGCAGCCATGACTGACTTGGAGGATTTTTTAAGGAGGCAGCGACGACGATAGTCATCACTTGGCGGTATTGTATGTGCGTAGTATTTTCGAAGGCATAGCCAAACAATTAAGCGGCTAACGGACCGACTGACCATTTCCTGGCGCAGTCACGAACGCCTGTCGCGATCACCAAGCAGTAGAATGGCCATTGTGCTGGCCACTAACCAAAGGAGTAAGTGTTTTAGTGTTATAGAGGAATATATGGATAAATGAGGGCAGCACATAACCAGTTATCGAAATCCGGAGAGGCAGCCGCACTGAGCCTTTCCTGAAATCCACCTGGAAGGGGTAAAAGAGCGTGTACATTCAAAGTGTATTCGCTAGAAAAATAGATATCAAAGTTGGGAAATAAGTGAACGCCTTCCATCACCGCTCTTCTGCTAAAACAGCTGTCGCAATTATACGGTGCACTGTACGCGACAATGCGCGGTACATCTTCTCTTTTCCGCCTCGCTCTCTCCTGTCACTCTCCGTTGTACGCGAGTCCCTTTAGTACAATTCCACTCCACGACGAAAAGGATAGTAACAAACCAGGAGAGAATGACATGACAAGACGCCTTTGCATCGTAATGCCGTCCAAGCAAATATTAAGCTTCTCTATTGATTTACTCTTCTTCTTTGTACCTATCAGGCATTATATTACCAAGGATTAGTTTCTTTTAAGGGAAGAGTCAACGACGACATACGTAAACGCGTTTTGAACTCACGTATCATCACATACGATTTCAACCGTTATTACACATAAGGCGCTGGTAAAGGTCAACTGGAAGACGGCAAACATTGATCCGACGGAATTGACATTCTGCCACGTTAGTATTAGATTACGAGTAAAAAAAAAAATTGTTCCATCTTGTTAGTGCCGTTTATGGAGTCGCGAAGAGAAAGAAATGAGAACAGAGGTGCTTTTCAATGATGAACTCGATTTCGTGTTGCATTAACCTCAATGGTTGCTCTTTATGCTAGCGGCAATACGTAAACTCTTGTTGTTTTGACGAAATACTGAAAGTATACGAGAACAAACGTTAAAGTATGCGTAATAGGATGGTGCGTAATAAGATATGATCTTTTGTCTAGTGCAAGCCCTAGTTCTTCATCAAAAGGCTGAAGAAAGATAGCTTAATTATTTCTTTGTATTTGACACTACCGTAGACTATTGATTTTCATTTCTAGTGACGATTTTGTGTAAAAATGTATTTTCTTTCTGCCCAGCAAGCGGCGGAGAACGAATAGTTAAGAGGTTGCCAATGACGTCTGAACAGATCTTATTCGCACTTGATTTATACATCGCACTACTAATGCCTGGAGTCTATACCAAACATTTAACTAACTAGTTCCAATTTGTGCAATGAGCTTTCGAATTTCCTGGACCGGCTGAGTATCACTCAAGAGGACCAGGCTCCGTCTACTACAGGGAGCGTTCGAGTAATTTCAGGGGAAAATCTTAACTTTTAAATTGCTTAAGACCGTTTTGATACATTCTTTCTGACACTCCAATATTTCTTTTACTTTTTCTACTACCCATCTAAACCTTAGAATATCAGGCTCAGCCTTTGCAGCGCAAAACGAGATGGGGTCACATATACAGTGATTCGAGCTTCATTCATTGCTCCCGAAGAAACAACAGCAGCGGTAATGCGCGAATTATGCGGCTCACCTATACGATGTAACGCGTAATGTGTAAAGTTAAGAGACGAAACCGCCAGATTTGAAATTCACCGCTTTGTTCATAATAAAATTCCTGCTATTTCAAAGATAAATAAAATTACTTATGAATCAATTCAGTATGCGCTTTTTAACGGTAGGAACGCGAGGCCATATCTTTCTTTCAATTATAAAAGCATTTTTTAATAAATATAGCTATATTATTGACACCTGTAAACATTTCGCTGTTACAGTAAGAAGCACATATATACTTCTTATAATAATATGATAATAAAAGTAATATATATGCAGGAGCTCAGTTTTTACATATAAGAAATGCTACTTGTAAAGAATCATGCATTCGATGATCTACCGGATCTGTGATTGCCCATGGTCTGTCATTCCGAAGGCCGCTTTATCTAAAATACATCTGTTATCTGTTCACATGTAGCAACTTATAAATAAAAATTGTATTCTAGTGAAGTTGCCAGTTATTTCTTAAGATAGCTAAAGATGAGCTTTAGATACGCCTGCTCTCTTATGACTTCTAATTAACTTTAGTTAAATGGTATTTCTGCCTAAGCACAATAAACTATTTTAAAAGGTGAGCTTGGTAAAGTTGAACTGGCACCTTCAAAACGATCTCCGGAAAATCGTCTACCATTAGAAGAGAACGGAATTAAGAACAAAACTAAATGCAGAGAATAAAAGCCGGAAACGACTAGACGTTCATTATAGACATTAGCGTTGTATCAAGGCAGCTCCCCTAAAGCGTAGACATGATATTTATACTGGTTAGCTTTCTGGGGATATTATCTTCCTAAACCACTTACTCTTATTCAGAAGCTTGTTTTCATATTATTTGTTAGTCAGACGTAGAGAGTCGACGAATTCGCGGACTTTGCCCCGCACCTTTTTTGTCGTTAATTAATCCAAGACATATTGACAGTCATCCCGCTGCAATTATCTGCCTCCCACAAGCTCGTTAGCCTTTTGCTATATTACATCAGCCTACTGTCATCTGAACGAACTTTTGTCGGCATAATCTAAGTGACAATTCAATCGTGGACCTTCATAGTTCGCCTGTCGCTCCAAAAATCCTGCCACACAAATTTCGTTATTCCGTAAGAGTCATTCTACTTTTTGATTCAGTGGATTTATTAACTCCGTTTCGCATTGAAATATTCCTAATAAACCTACAGCAGTTATTATGTGAGCGTGTTCTAATACTGTTATATCCAACCTATGGCACTGCTGTATATATTTTGTTGTACCCTTGCAACTACCAGGTTACATTAACGACATTCCCTTAATTTATTAAATTCTATACCCGCAGCAATGTGATTCATGTGCAGGTACAAATACTTCATCACCCTGTTGCGCTAGTTATTAGTTAGTTACTTCGTTATTTTTTTGCAGTTCGTATA